GCACAAAACCAGGTGGTGTAGGCAGGTAGTGCCTTGTCACTCATCCATGCTCTGTGGACAAAAATAATGACAGTCACTAACTCTTAGAATCATCAAGGGAATTTAAAAAGTGTTTGTGTTTGAAAAGCCCTTAGAAAGGTGCCTGTGCCTGGTGAGGACCTGTGGCCCTTAGTAATTCCTGCCTGTCTCAGCCTCTCGCACTGCCTCCCCAGGGCCAGGGCTGCGTCTGGCTCGGTCACCCAGGTGGCTCAGAAGCAGCATGGCGCCAGCTCATGGAGAAGCTCAATTTATACCTGTCTGGTGAAGGAAGGGCAGCCTGGGTGAGTCGAGTGGAGCGTCTGCAAGACTAAAATGCAAAGATGTCCACGGGAAATGGAAAAAACTGCAGATCTTCTCCCTCAGCAAAAATTTTCTAAGACCAAATTTTGCCTTCTTCTGTCCATTTTTCTAGAGAACCAGCAACCATTTCTGGTTTGTTTTGTTCCCTCCCCCCACCTTTTTTAACCCTGTTACTAACTTATTTAAAAAAAAAATCTGCCTACTGGGTAAAGGCACAACCAGGAAGAGGCAGATGTCTCTCATTAGTACCCAATGGCTTCAATCTTTCACACAACTTTAATTTTATTTTCCTGTTTAATGCTTATCAATACATCCCATGGAATAAAGGCTTCAGGCAAATAATGTCAGCTTATGAGTTTGCACTTGAGAGACTCCACAGGGTGTGGACAAAGGACACCCTGGGGTGGTTTTCAGCTTGTTCTGGTGGCCAGGGAAGCAAGTGCTCTCTGGGCACAGCTGGGGCTCACGGGGGCGCTTGCCTATTTTTCTTGACTCTACATGTCATGTCCTCGTGTCCACTCCTCTCTCACTTTAGACCACCACGTGGTGGCTCTTCATGTCTTTATCTGCTAAAATTCCCATTTAGCCGAGTTCTGCAATCCCTCTGCAGGCTGCGGGCACATCCTGCTGCAGCGGCCAATGCCAGATCTCAAGTGCTGTGGAGAGATCTGGAGGCTCAGAAAACAGCCTCAAAATGCACCCCAGGCAGCCACCTGCACTCCTCTAATGAGAATTTAAAAAGGATTTAAGAAGCTGGGGTTCATGTAAGTTGGGGGACCGTGCCGGGCAGACCAAAGAGCTGCTGATCCTCAAGATGAGCTCAACATCCAGGGCGCACGACAGCAAGGCGTCTCAGAGGGCACGCTTTATGTGGCTCCATTATGTAACATATTTACCCACTGACATAGCTTGGAGGGCTGGAGACAGATCAGGCTACCAGGGATTCGGGTAGGTGGAGAGGGTCTGAGACTCTAGGGGTGACTCAAAGGAACATCAGATGGGTTAGACACCTTAGTGTGGCCGCCACAGCAAGATCCACGGGGACATCCAATTGGACTGTGAAGCTAAGTTAAGCACACACAGTGTGCACACCCAACTGGTGACAGGAAAAGAGCTACCAGATGACATTGACGTTGACCGCCTGGTTGGTGTTCTGCACGGTCATTCCAGATGCCAGCTCTGGGAGGCTGAGCCAAGTATCCACAGGACCCGTGATTCTTTGCAACTTCCAGGGAATTGAGGACTATTTCAAATCAAGTGTGTTGGAAGAACTGTGGATGGTGTGGCTGGCACTGAGGCCTGAGGGGCAATGGCTTCAGTCATGGATTCCCGTGGTATCTCTGGAACACTCCCTGTCCCTCAGCCAGAAACACACCCACCTCAGTCCATCAAGGGCCACCTATGTCTGCGACCTCTGCAGATGAACCAGGAAGTTCTAGCTCCTTTCTCTCTTTCTCTTCCCAGCGCCCCCCCCATGCCTGCCTCATGGTGCGCTGCAGCTGTGAACTAACATCTAATTCTACTGGTAGGGTCGCTCTCCATCCTGTGGTCACTTTCTGTCCCAGGGTCTCTCTCCATCCTGAGCTTGCCATGTTTCCCTTGAAACACTGGAAGTCGGGGCTCATGTGGGGCTGATTTGCAGTTAGGCCTGCAGAACCCCATCCCCTCCAGCAGGATAAGAGGAGCCCTCCCTGCAAAGAACCTCCCCACATGCCTGAGCACAGAGCCAGCATCACAGGTTTGCACTGGGCTCTGTTGAGAGCCTAGTAAGTGACCCAGCCACGAATTCTGGGCAGTTTTTATTGAGGACATATTTGTCTTCAGTATGTTTCCCTCTCTAATTCTGTGTATCATTAATCTTTTAAAATTAGAGATTTTAAGAGGCCACCCCCATGATGTTAAAATCTCTACAGTGTGTGTGCTGCATTCAAACACAAGTCTCTGCAGCAAAGTCAGTAAACTGAGCAGGATAACCATCCTAGAAAACATGGAGACCCTGGCATGGTGCTCACCTCCTCCATGAGCATGTGGAGAAGAACTGGGCACATGCAGCTCTTCACTCTCATCCTCTAAACCAGAGTGGAAACCCTAATCAACAAGGCATTTGCTCCTGGAAAATAACCAAGTACTGTACCAATATATGTGAGGCAACTACTTTATTTTTAAAAACAGAGTTTTTTATTTAGCTTGCAGTTTGGAGGCTGGAAGTCCCACCAGCATGCTCAAGAGCTTCCAAGGGCCCTGTGGCTGCATCTCGTCATGGCAGGAGCTTGCTTGCATCCCTGGGTCTGTGGCCTACCCACTACTTATACAGCCACTAG